CTCAGGAAAATTAATGATATGAAAAAATGTTCCATTTTAAAACATTATTTGAAATACATAAATCTTTTGTACAGTTGCATACACTCAGAGAGAGAGAAAAAAATTTTGCAGGATAGACCTCAGAGTATCAGTGGTTATTGCTGTGTGGTAGAAGCACAGGTGATTGTATTTCCTTTCTTTTACTTTTCTGCCCATCTTTAATTTTCTACAATGAACACGAACTACTTTTACGATAATAGTTTTTTTTTTTTTTTTAAGAGTTTGTTCCTAGCCTTCTTTTCAATGTTCACTTTTAAAGGTGTCTGTGATTGAGGTCTGTGTGATATCTAAGCATGGTTAGTTCTTCTTCCCTGTGGGTTAAGGCAGAGTGTCCCAGGGCTCATTAAACAGAAAACTAAATAAACAGGCGTTTCCCAAGTGTAAACTAAGGAAACTTGGCCTCTGTCAGCAAATTGTCCGGGTTTACTAATAGACAAACTGAGCACAACGGTTTGTCTTTGTAGCTAAAGTTAAGTAGAAACTTATAAAATATCCAGTTAAGGTGATATTTTTAACAACCAAATTAGATAATTTTGCTTTTGCTTTTTCAAGCCATTTTGGATCTTTATCTACTGTACTTGTTATCCAGAGCCCAGTAGAGTGATTGCAAGGAACATTTATTGATGGCTCCCACAGAGTAAATAGATCATTTCAATTGTAGGGATTAAATTCAATTTAAATTATCAAACTTTTATTGAGTAACTAGGTATGGGCCCAGTAGTATATTAGATCCAGTGGGGTATTCAAACAACTCACAAAGACAAATGTCCTGAAGGAGCTCACAGTTTTGACATAAAGACAGATAAATTAATGAATACCCCTGATATTCACTATATAATGGGTTTCAGCAGAAGCATTGAGTAATACAAAGCCAGAGTCACGGAGGCAAGGAGAGGGAGAGGTTAATTCTAATCAAGGGAACAGGAAAGTTTCTTAAAAGGAAGTGAGATTTTTGGTTAGAAATAAAGTGTATTAGTCCCCATTTAGTTATAAGTAACAAATAAAATTCAAACTAGCTTAAATAAAAAGGCAATTTATTAGCTTCTGTAATAAGGATATCTTGCCTTAGGCAAGGTAGATCCAGACTTAGCTTCCCTCTCTGTATCAAATTTATGGCAATCAAACTCTCCACAAAGATGACTGCTGAAGATAGAAACTTATATACTTAGCGCTTACAATCCAGGCCCTTCTATTCATTAAAAATCTGGGAGGATCCTCATTGGTTCTACTTGGGAACCTGCACATCCTGGGCCAATCACTGTGGCCAGTTAGGTCACATGTCCACCTTGTAGGGAGTGGGGAGGGAGTCAGGGTACCATGACTGACAATTCCACCCGATCAGAGTTGGGGAGCTGTGGCTTCCCCCCCAGAAAGCAACAGAAAGGAGAGAGAGATGGGCAAAACTACTGGACAAACACTATCATTGCCATCTTCATTTCAGACAAGTAGAATGTTGTAAGGTAATATGAGGGCAAAGCATCTGTGAGCGAAACGAAGAGCTCAGACAAGGATATGAGTGCAGGGCAATGCAAGAAATGCTTTAAACACAGTGCATTTAAAGTGCTTGTGCAGTCCAAAGTAACTCTACACCAATGATTATAGTCACCCAATTGATGAAATGTTATAGGTCTGTTTTCCTTTACTCAGATATTTATACTTGGGAGTTTTGCATACATGGAACTGTAAGGTTAACGTTATTTAAGTGTAATGAGAACTTGCCACATGAAGTATATCCTGTGATGAATATGTTTGTAAAGCAAAGAGTTAAATTGGCACCAGAAACACTAACCTTTAATTTTTCTGTTTTGTACATTTGAGTTATTATGTATTGACTTTGCTTAGGATAATGTATACTTAAGACTAAAGCTTTTTTTCCAAAAATAAATTTTTAATCCATTTAAAATATAACTTAAGCTTTTAGAGCATTGCCCATTTCTAGTAAATGATTAATAAATGTATATAAATGCTTCTTTGAATTTATATCAATAATTATAAAGTCATCTACCAGTTTTAAAAGCCTATTTGGATCAGACATTTGTTTGTTCCTTGGCAAAGCAATGTCTGAATGTGAATTTAATTTATGATTCACAGAATCCCCATGGGCCCATGGTGATACAGACGATTGAAACCAGGCCAATTGATGTTTTAATCCTTTCTGTCCTTCAAAAAGAAATAAAATTAAATTCTATATTTTTGTTACTTAGTATTTGCTACATTGGGCTAAGATTACAGATAGAATATAGAATTAAATCCTTACAAAAATGAATTTGAAATCTAAATTAGACAGATAGACAGAATTCTGACCTTGAGAAATAAATTGCAGAAGTAACAACTTTGTGAAAACCTCAGGAAGACATCAAAAAATCCAGAGATGGCAAGATATTCTGTCAGCATTTGCTGGTATTGGACTAAAGAAAAGGATTAAAAGATGAATTTCCAGTTCCAAATCCACCCTGAACTTCATAATTTTGAACATGGTACCTCTTTTCACTCCACATGAGCTTTTCTATCTTCAAACTAATTCATATCTTACAGAAAAGTTGCAATGATCTATGAAATAATAAATACAAAACCTTTAAACTTTTCAGAAGAAAATTTTTACATTATTATTTCACAAAATGAAATAATAATAGGGTACACTCTATCAATTACATCTGATCTTTTATCATATAAAGCAAGTAAACTGGGAATGAAATTTTATGTTAGAAAGATTCATTTCAAAATATGATTTTACGAAGTGTTCAATGGTACATCTAAAGCGAACCAATCTAGGGACACCTGGGTGGCTCAGTCGGTTGAGCCTCTGACTTCGGCTCAGATCATGTTCTCACAGTTTGTGAGTTTGAGCCCTCCTGAAGCTTGCTGCTGTCAGGGCAGAACCCACTTTGGATCCTCTGTCCCTCTCTCTCTCTGCCCCTCTCCTGCTCATGCTCTCTCATTCTCTCTCGCGCACGCTCTCTCAAAAAATAAATACACATTAAAAAAAAACTTTTTAAAAATAAAGTGAATCAATCTACAAAAATTTAATTCATACACAACTTTTAGAAAACATATTTTGCACTATGCAAAGTTACCCCATTGTTATTTAATTAATACCCAATGCATAAAGCAATTCCTTAGAATAAAAATGTGTTAAATCAGTGGTACCCAGAAATATGTGACATTTTTAGCCATTTAAAATTCTCATTTACAAAAAAAGTCATGTAACTGCTACCTACCTTTTAGATATTTTGCATAATATTAAATATACTTTGTAAAATAGAAATTGAAAGTCTTAAGTATCCAAAGATTTCAGGCAGAACAGCCGTATGTGCCCTATCTTATTAAAAAGAGTACTTAAAGGAACATTTTGTGAGATACTTAGATACCTTAAGAGCTAATAATGATTGCAGTGTAATCATGGAAATACAGATTATTTTTAAATACATAAAAAACTTAAATTTAAAATTTTCAAAATAAAATCAAATAATAATTAAAATATTGAAATAAACCCACTACATAGAATCACATGGAATTTGATAACACATAAGGCTGGGAGTTTTCTTGAAGACAAGACTGATGATAGGAAGGTGAGGAATTTCCCATGATGGTTCGGAGGAATGCGGCCAGCTAGATGATATTGCATAAGAAATAACTGACGTAGTCAACAAATTTTAAACAAGGTGGAATGTGAAGCAATGCTTCCATGTTTAATAACAGAGTATCTGTATCAAAATAATATCTCTGTCTGGTATGGGGAATAACAGATGAGTCAAAGTCGAAAACGGATGAGATAAAAGGATGAGCAGATTGTCTCCCTCCTCCTCTCCCTCCGCCATAGAGCTAGCACATCTAGAGAAACCAATGCTGAGAGCGTGAGAAAACAGCTGCAGTGTTGACTTTTTATCTACAGAATTCCTCCACATCGGCCTCTAACCCTATACCCTTTGTCCCAATTTCCCTAAGTTTCTTGGCCTCCTGTTTTGATCCTTAGGTGAACTCCTTGTGTCTCTCATCCCTAATTTGCTGACCTGGTTGTGAACCAGCAGCTCTGGTTTCTACCTTTGAAGCTCTTCCATGACTTACTTGGTGATTGATGACTTGATTGCCCACCTATGACCTCACGTACTCCTACTCGTACTCCTATTCCCAGTGGTAGCCCAGTGAAGCCTGTATCAATCTGCTCATGAGCCAATTAGATGCTATCTGATTATGAAAGGAGATCAGACTTAAACTCAAGAGAAAGATTTAGAGTAAGATCCAGCAATATCAGGGCACATATCTCACCAAATTCTACTTAGATAGCTTAGGATGATTGGTCATCCCTCTACTAATCACCCAATGCCTCTGACAGAGTTTGGTTTCATTATAATTCTTGAGACATAGAAGACCCTCAGGAAATACTTAATGAAGGAGAGATGAATGAATAAATAAAATATTATAAGCACCGGCTCTAAGATCTAGGAATGATTATACTGGTTTTTGAGGGGGTGCATGAAGTTACAAAATATGATGAAACTTTAATTAGTAGAACATGTTTGGTGAAATTTCCATTCACATTTCTTTTAAGAAAAAAAGCAGGAAGCAATTCAGTACATCTACTTGTCATAGCTTTTAGAACATCTGTGGTTTTAGAACAGCTTTGAAAATAGTTACTTGCCTAGAGTGAGGTCTGACTTCTGCTGTATAAGCATTAAAGTGTTCTAAATTCATACACACTGGTACAATACCCTCATAGATGGCAGTTAATAAAAATACTGATTAGGTGGCTTACGTCTTCTTCATACTCTGGTTCTTATAGGAATATGCACATGTACATCCAACTCATTAAAACTTGGTCAAAATAAAGAAAAAGGTAACAGATGCACCATCTTTTTTTTTTTTTTCATGAAAAACTGCACATTTACTCTAGAAATCCCAAATAAGAATGTTTACAGCAACGGTTGATGGAAGCAGCATGGGCTGACACAGAAAATGCTTACTGTTTAGCAGGAGAAAATGTCCTAAATACAGTGCGTCTCTCTCCATCAGCTGGTGCTCAGTGTTTGTGTTTCTTCAGATTGATCGGCTGGACGTGGATAGCTTGTTTAGCAACATTGAATCCGTGCATCAGATATCAGCCAAGCTGCTGTCATTGTTGGAAGAGGCCACAACAGACGTGGAACCGGCCATGCAAGTAATCGGTATGTTTATTCTCTTCTCGAGTTCTACAATACAACAGGAAATAATATTTTAATAACCTCCCTTTGCTTTGGTTTTATGTTTCTGACTCACTAAGCTTCCCGGGAGATGTATAAATGCTAAACCCATCTTTAGGCTCATTGTAATTACACAAACTCTGTATTTATCTTCAAATGGGTTTATATCCATTTGCCGAGGTCCCACAGTAGCACTAAGCACACCATTTGCTTTTTAATTTTCAATCTTTCAACCTCTTTGCCTTCCAGATGTTCTCTCATTTTGTTTTATGGCTAACACTTACTTGATCCTTAAAGAATTAAATATTTAAATACTTTAATAGCTTTAATGATTTTAGTCACAGTGTTTTTCAGATCTTAGGCCTATGAATCCATTGACTTTGGGACTGTAAAATTTTTTGCGTAAAGGGATTTTATAATATATAAAACACACGAGTTCTACTTTCCCATGCTTTTCTCTTTTTTCTCTATATTATTTACTTGCCAAATAGATTTTGACTTTCAGTCATAGATTATTTTCTTACTCTGGTAAGATTTGTCATTGAAAAAGCATTGAGCCAAATTTTTATTCCTCTCATTTCTTGGGAGTTTCAAAGGGAATACTGTGTTGTGAACTTTTTGAAGGCAGGTCACACTTCTGAGAGATCATACACATAGTGCCATGGAGGCTAAGACTTCTTTAAATTGTTTTTTTATTTTTCTATTTTACACATAACATGCAATGTATGTTCACTACAGAATTATTGAAACATATCAGGAGTACAAGAATAATACACTCCTCCAATGCCACTATCTTCCCTGTAAGTAACCACTGTTATCAGTTTGATGTAGATCCTTTCTTTGAGATACATAGAGACACAAACACACACTTGCACCTTATATCTTTATTCATAATGCCTTTGTTAATGGAAATCAGAGTTATAAAAAATGAAATTGATCTTGTTTAGTATTTACGGAAGACTCAAAGTTTAATAAGCAGGGCTGAGACTATGCAAAGGTGAATCAACCTATTTGTAGTGTTTTACAGACTAAAAGGTCAGCTCACTCAAAAAGATTCTCCTACTGACAGGTTTATGTTTAATCATTACTTGTGACTGAATGTCCCTGTTATGTACTGAATGTTTGTGTTCCCCAAAATTCATATGCCAAAGCCTTAACCCTCAATGTAACGGTATTTGGAGGTGAGGCCTTTGGGAGGTAATTTCGGTTTAGATGAATCAGGGGTCCCCCTGTGGTGGGATTAGTATCCTTCTAAGGAAAGAGAGAGAGACCAGAGTCCTCTCTCTCCCTCTTCACCATGTGAGGACACAAGAAGGGAGCTGTCTGCAACCCAGGAAGGAGGTCTCCACTAGGAACTGAATCTGCTGGCACCTTGGTCTTGGACTTCTCAGCCTCCAGAACTGTGAGAAATAAATGTCTGTTGTTTAAGCCCTTCCTCCCCCCAGTCTGTGGTATTTTGTTATGGCAGACCAAACTGACGAACAGTTTCCATCAAGTTGTAAATATATTTTCTAAAGAAAGGACTCTATTCATTACTACTTCAGTGTGGACTCATCGGCCATTCATTTACTAACTCACTCAGTGAATATTTAGTAAGTAGCAGCATGTTCAAAGGTACTGTGCGGCATTGTTGGGTATCAAAAGATGAAAGAGATCATCTCTGTCCTTCAAGAGTTTGCCACTGAAAAGCTCTTTGAATTGAAGGTGTTTGTATAATACACCCTCAGACTATTTTCTACACTATTGTGGAACTTCAGGGGATAAAAAGTATTTCTAGATGGGGAGTCACAAAAGGATTCTTGAAGATGTTACTTGGACTTACAGGTCAGATTTCAACAAGTGAGGTCCAGGTCCCGAAGACTAAGTAGAAGCAACAGCATGAACACAAGCATGGACAGCAAATGCCAAATGCCAAGCATTTTTAGGAAATGGTGAGAGATCAAGCCAAGTGGGAGTGAAGGATTCATGGAAGGAAGGAGTAAGAAATGAATCTGTCAGTGTAGAATAGGGGCGGACTATACTTCGAATCAAATTTGGAATTTACTCTGCAGGTACTGAGGAGCCATTAAAAGATTTTTTCAGCAAGGGTGTGATGAGACACACAAGTTTCTGGAGAAAGAAAACTATGGTAAGTTGAAGAGAATGGATAGAAGGAGAAAATGGGTCGTAGATCTGTAAATAGGTTGTTATAAATAACACAGGTGCGTGGTAACAATTATCTAGGCTAAAGTGGATACAGTGAGAATAAAAACTGGGGGTCAAATTCAAGAGAAATGTCAGATAAAACATAAACAAGACTTAGGGGTTGGTTGCACGTGCTGGAGTCAAAGACAATTCCAGGTTTAAGAAGAGAAGTATCCTGATTTACCTAGAACATTCTGGTTTTAGCCTTCTCTTCTAGCAGCCAGTCCAGTTGAGCATTTATCCTGGATTTTCTCCTTTTTAAAGAGGATCATTATTAATAGCTGCACTACAAGAGAGTTGGTAAGACCTCTTCATCGTACTTCAATTTCTAACCAGTCTCTCCTAATAGAATATAAGGGGCAGGTGCACTTGACATAGTTCTCACCATAACACATGCTAAACTCCAAAAGACAGCTCATCTCCCCTTTCCCAACCTTATGAAGTGCAACATGCACAATGTTGGCTGATAAAAAGATGGCATTTGGACATGAGCAGCTAGTAACATTTTCTGGTGGTAGTGGGAGATGTATCTGATTCTACAGATCCTGCTGCCACTGGGTAGAGCACCTAGTCTATCATGGCCTGTGATGGGTGGCCCATGATGGGTGGCCCATGCCATGACCTGTAAGAGCCATGAAGCCACCAGGATAATAGTCAGTGGGTTTTAGTGAAACATATAGGGAATTAAAGATTATTTATAAGTGAAAAATGTGTGGGAAGTAGAGGCTTAGCAGTCCTGCCACAGAGAGTATCCAGATACTGTTGCTACAATAGTCTGGTAATTTATCTTATGATATGAATCCATAACTTTTTAATTATCTGGTTATGCTTATTTTATTTTGCAATAAACCCTTTCAGAAGCAAGCGTTTAATCTATGCATATTTTATAAAAATTCAGTATTGATCTTCTGTTTCTCAAGAAAGTTGATGACGAACCCATAACACACAGGATACTTGCCATCCACCATGGGGTCCTAAATGCTATTGCTGACCATAAGACAATCAGAAGACAGAAATCTGCTGAAGGAACAGCAACACCTACATCAAACGTTAGTTATTGTTTTAAGAAGATTGGGCCTATTATTTTATTTTTTTTAAATTTTTTTAATGTTTATTTATTTTTGATAGAGACAGAGACAGACCATGAGTAGGGGAGGGGCAGAGAGAGAGGGAGACACAGAATATGAAGCAGGCTCCAGGCTCTGAGCTGTCAGTACAGACGTGGGGCTCGAACTCACAAACAGCGAGATCATGACCTCAGCTGAAGTCAGACATTTAACCAACTGAACCACCCAGGCACCCTTGTGCCCATTATTTTAACACCTTGGCATTTGGCATTTCCTGACCGTGCTTCTGTTCATGCCGCTACTTCACTTGGAAACTTCTTCTTGACCTCCTTCCCACTTGTTGAAATCTTACCTATACTTTTGAGCCCAGGTGCGTATGGTTTAGCACTTGCGGCTGTGGAAGACGTGTTTCCATAGCACTTCATGCAGCAGGGCTTCATTAGGTCAAAGAACAGTTCTCCTAAGTTAATTTCTCTCAGTTTTAGTTCTGAGTTTCCTTGGGCCTGTGAGAATGTAAAGCAATGGCTATTAATGAGTTGACACCAATAGCAAAAGAGTTTACAAACCGTTGAATTATGACACTTTTATAACACTGTGAGCAGATGAGTTAAATAAAAAAAAATTAATAAATTCCAATAATGATTTTAAAATGTTTAACCAATTCACAGAACCAAAGAAAAGCTTTTGGAAGTTTATTGTGTCAAAGGGGAATTTTCTGAACTTATTGTAAATGTTAGTGTTATTTTTAAAAGTAAACTAGTGAATGCAAGTGATAATATGAATACATATTTGCAAGTAGCACAGCAACTCAGTAAAATAATGTTTTTACCAAAGTAAGAAAAATATGGAGCAGAAATTTACTTGAGATTGATCATGGTGATTATGTACAAAAGCTGTGATATTCCGTAAATTGACATGGTGACTGTAGTCAAAATTCACAAGTAGTTTAAATATACAAAGTTAGAGTAAGCTACATACATGTAATATTTGGAGGATAAAGTTGATGTCTTTAAAAAACAATCTTATGCATGACTACCACTTAATTTGCTTCTAGTGTCACTGATCAACTTTTAGAAATAGACATTCTGTTCAAAATTAGTTAGGAGTCTTTAGTTAAAATATTCAACAAAGAAAGGGGGGGAAGTAACATCAGCTTTTTAATCTGTAAAATTATAATTATTAAGCACAAAATTGCAAATGGGAAGACATTGAAATTTATCCCTACTGAAACAAGGAATTAGCTTTAAAAATGAGAGTTTCTATTATGTAAAAGATTTCATTTTAAAACTCTATAATTCTATTTTAGAAAACCTGACTTATGGAAAGAAGTGTTGATGGAATTCCTATTAAATAGGATAAAGTTATATCCTGCACCAGATTTTACAAGATCGATATTTGGAAAAGTATTCAAAAATCATAAATAGAAACACCTTTTTGGTGAGCTTATTTTGCAAAAATAAAGAAAAGAATCCAAATGGAGGCTAAAAGTCAGTACTTTTGGAAATATTTCAGCCCAAATATTTATATATTTCAATATAAAGAAATATGTAATCATAATTTTAATATTTTCCATTTAGCGGAATTTTCTTTAAGCTTATTAAGTGCCTCTGCACTTATAGAAGAGTATTTTCCCACTTAAAAAAAAATATGGCCTACGTTTTTGAGTAGCAACATATATAATGGTAGTATTGGATTTTAACCCATAGAATAAAATAAATATTGAGTTCATACTGATATAAATAAGTGAGGAGAAAGGAAAGGTCTTTTTTATAGTAGATTTCAATTATATAGAAGGAAAGAGGAAAATCGAAAACCCCCATTAGCCAAACAGTACGTCATTGTTGCAGACAGAATCCACTGATCAGTGTTTGATTTAGTGACTGAAAGTTTGAGGAGAAATATACTTTCCATAGTTTCAAAGTTTCTCCTAAGTGACTATTAACCTTACAGGGAAAGATGGTAATTTTACAGTGAGAAACCAGGCAAAGACCACCTAACCCAAATGATCAAGGTCAACGATGCCAGGAAATAACATGCATTCACATCATAAACCTTTAGTACAATGCACTGAGGGGGACATCATACCTGTAGCACTTTTGCCCCAAATATGTGCAATTGTGTTTGATCACGAGAAAACACTAGACATTAGCAAACTCATGTAAGGGACACTTGACAAAATAATGGATTGATATTCTTCTAAAATGTCAAATTAATTAAAGACAAGGTGAGACGGAGGAACTGCTGTAATTTAAGACTGCAGCAGACTAAGGAGGAGTAACAAATAAATGCAAGTGAAAGCCTGGATAGATTCTAGAACAGTAAAAAGAATGTAGTGTTGACGTTCAAATATGGTGTTTAGTTAGCAGTACCAAAGCACTCGGAGTTCATTTCCTTTTCTGACAATTGTACTGTGGTTATCCAAGATGTTAACCCTGGGGAAGCTGAGTGAGGGACACCTGGAAACTACCTGTACTATTTTTGCAATTTTCTGTTAAGTATAAAATTAGTTAATTAGAAACTAAAAATACTATGTTTTAGAGAGAAAGCACGTGTTCACAATTTCATTTACCGTTTCCATAGTATAGTGGTTATCATGTTCGCCTCACACAATTTCATTTACCAATCATAAATCGCAACTTCGAGGAAGATTATAGAAAAATAAATTAAAAAAATAAAACAGTAAGGCCATATTTGAAAAAGAAAGAGTTGGATTCATATTTTAGTTTCCATACCCTTTACATCTGGGTTAGCATTATGGTTTGCTTTGACCAATAAAATGTGGCAAAGTGATGTTCTACAACAGCCTTGTGACATCCACTCTCCGCTCAGGGATAGAGCAGGCTCAAACTACCCAACATTTCAATCAACACAGTCAAGGCCTTGGACATGTGAGTGCGGCCTCCTCAGCCAGCTGGTCCCTGGTTACAGATTGCAAACATATGAGTAACCTCATCAACGACACCTGGAGACAAGCCATCCCAGCTGAGCCTCACTCAAATTGTCAATGCAGAGAATTGTGAGCAAATAGTGTTGTTCTAAACCTTTAAGTTTTGGGGTGATTTTTTTCCCTGCAGCAATAGCTAATACACATTCATAGAGATTAATTCAACTTAGATGAAAAAAAGCTTGATCTGGAAAGTGGATTTTGAGCTTGGACTTGAAGGATTTAGAAAGGTGGAGATTGAAGGAAATGACTTTCTAAATAACAAATGGCATAGAGGCCCCAAGGCAGGAGAGTATAGGAAATTCTCGTAAAGGACAACAACCTAATGTATCTGGAGCATAGTGGCAAGGAGGCTCTCCATGACCCATACACAGTAGCCGAATCAATACAGAGTTCACTGGCAATTTCTACCCCATGCCACCAACAGCAATTTCTACTACTAAATCTTTCACCAGGATAACCTGATTTTTGGTGAGACGTTTCCAAAATCACATTACCACAAAATGCAAGCACAGGTATTCCATTTCTCTGTCCTTAGATGGCACGAATGAGAAGTTGTGATTCACGGCTCTAGTGCCAAAGGGAAACTTTCCAGATACCTAGATAAAACCAGAAGGAGGATTTTACTCACTAATAACCTTGGGGTTTGGATGAAGTTCAAGTTTAAGCACAGAGGCATATGTTTGTAGATATGAGAGCTCTGGGAAATGGTCTGGACTATCATGCCAAGATAAAAACTGGATTTTAAAATCTTGACTTCAGCGGGCTGTCTATGTAGGAAATGGGTTCTAAATCTTTAGAGATGGGAATATGAGATGTGGCTCTTGTTTCCACTTAAAAGGACGATTATTCTGTAACAATTTAAGAAAACAGTGAGCAAAGACAAAACAAGTAAAATGATAGAGTTTAAAAATGCAAGGGTTTCAATATCAGGTCAACTTAGGAATACATCTTAACTCATCCAATTACTACATGTTCAATCTTAGGCAAGTTACAAAATCTCATGGAACTTTAGTTTCTCATGTGGAAATTTGAGGTAATAATACTCGCCCCATTGAGTATTTGTAAAGATTAAGTAAAATCATGTATAAATAATGATGGCCCAGTGCCTATTCTTAATAAATATCCAATACATGATATTACTAACTTGCTATACTGAGAATATTAAATTTACCCATCTATTTACCGAGCTTTATTTCTTGTGTATGTAACCATTGAATAAAATGTGATTTCCCCCCCTAGAGGTCCCGATCATGTTTTTGAAACACTTAGATTCACTGGATATGTGTAGCTTCTAGATGCTCCCAATATCTATGCATCTTGATGATTCACAGAGCTAATAAGGCAACACGTTTTCTTCCACAAAGCATGATTTAACATATGAAGTGTCATTTCCACATTCCATAGAGTGAATATCAATGCAGTAGTCACTTTCCCAAGATGGCTCTCAATAGACCATGCCTCTCATGCTGCTATGCAGTCTAGTCCCATATTGACTCTGGACTGGCCCTGAGACTCACTAACTCATACAATGAAATGGAAGTGACACTGTGTCAGTTACTGAGCCTAAGACTTAAGGAAGCCTGGAAGCTTCTTCTTTTGTGAGGAACCTGCCATTTAAGAGGTCCAGTTGCCCTGCTGGAAATACCACATGGAGAGGTCATATGTAAAGAGATTAGACCTGAGACTATATAGGGTGAGAAAGTGGCTCAGCTGTCCCAGATCCTGGCTGGTGCCAGCCTTCCATCTGTCCCTGCCAAGGCACCAGAGTTGTGAATGAACCATCTTGGACCAACCAGTCAATTAAGCCCTGGGATGACTGCAGCCCCAGCAGGCATCGGGAGGGGGTCGGGCAGAAGAACCACATGCCTGATTCCAGCCAACCCACAGAATTGTAAGAGAAAATCAAAACAGTCGCTGTTTTAAGGTTCTAAGTGTGGAGGTGGTTTGTTACATAGGTAGACAACCAAAACAGAGTTTGCTTCCTCTTATATACATTTGCAACAATGCTGTAATGTTTCAAAGAATTAAAAGAAAGACTGAGTTTTGAATATGTTTGAGTCTATCTTCTGTGCTTACCTCGGGCACACTATAGCGAGAACCGGAGCTGAAAGAAGCTTGTGGTAAAGGAATTGCACTTTCTCAAATGCTTTTTCCTGAGGGTGAGTTTCTCCTTTGAGAGAAAGACAATTTAGAGCTTTCTGTTCTTTGAAGGTGTAGTGGGTGATGCACTGTTGTTCTATGGCAGTACTTTGTTCTCCTAAAGCAGTGTCTCTTGTATGTCCCTGAAGCAGGAATCTGTGCCTTTAGCAGTGATTTTGTGAGAAGAACATTAGTCACTGATAATTCATGTCATGTTGCCATATGGGAAATGCCACAAAGTGGCTCACCTGAATAATTCTTCTACAGTGTGTGTGTGTGTGTGTGTGTGTGTGTGGTACTCAGGACACAGGTAGGCTCAACTTAGTTAATTCTGGCCAGCTGGGACAGCCCGGGAACATCCCAGACCCACATACTGAATGTGAGGCCAGTAGGGGCAAGCCCCAGATGCAGCAGCTGACAGATCAGGGCATTTTATTCTAAATGTCAGCAGTAACAGAAAAGCTATCAGACAGTGTGCCTGTCGGAAAAAAGGTTTTTTGGGGGTGGGGAGGAGGTCAAGAATAAGCAAATCCATACATGAAAGGAAAAATCAGCAGGAAGCGGTCAGCAGGGTACAATGTGGGGTTGGGCTTCCAATCTCCTGAGTGTGGTCAAGCTGGCTTCCTAGGGCTACAAGGACTTATTTCTTGTAAGAAAAATAAAGCCAGAGTGGCTTAGTAACAAGCTCTACAGTTCTGTTCTCTGAAGAGAATGTTAAGTTCTAGGAACCTGCACTGGGGAGCTGGCTCACGAAGGTCCGTGGCTTAGCTGTGCAGTCAGATCTGAATGGAGCATGGAAAAACCAAATATTGTGCAGAATACACATAGAAATACAGTGCCAAGTCCAGAGTTCTATGAGCCCCTGAACACTTTCCCAATAGGCAGGGGGTGAACATGAGAAGGCGTTTGCAGAGGCAAAAGCCTTATAGGTACACGGTAGCTCAGAGAGATCATGGCATTTGGGGGGAGACAAGTCTGTGCTTTCATGCTGACTCTGTCACCACTAGACCTATGGCTGGGGCCAAGACACTGGGGTCAGTTAGGATTGCACTTGCCTACCTGGAATAGAGACCTCACCAAAGAACTTAACTGAAAAGGGGCCGTTCTCCTCCCATAACAAGAAATCCATAATTCAGTAGTCCAAAACTGGGGTGACTACATGCTGGCTCCTTGCAGCGTTTTCCTTCATAGTCCTTGTGTGGTGTTTGGCCTCCTGGACTCACGATGGCTCCTCCACTGCCAAGTATTCCTTCCTGCAGGCAATCAAAGAAAAACCACCTCCTCCCAAGGCTTGTTTCCAAGCCTTCTCAGGGACTTCAGCCTATATGTCATGATTTCATTTCACACACACACACATTTCATTTCTTACACGTATACATGCACATGTAAATACATACTCACACACGTTCTTGGCCACCCCTAACTACCAGAGATGGGAGAAAGGTCAGTATTTTTCATTGGGTGCGTTGCTGGTCTAAATATTGTTTGTTTCGGGGCGCCTGGGTGGCTCAGTCGGTTAAGCGTCCGACTTCGGCTCAGGTCACGATCTCGCGGTCCGTGAGTTCGAGCCCGCGTTGGGCTCTGGGCTGATGGCTCAGAGCCTGGAGCCTGCTTCCGATTCTGTGTCTCCCTCTCTCTCTGCCCCTCCCTGTTCATGCTCTGTCTCTCTCTGTCTCAAAAATAAATAAACGTTAAAATTTTTTTTTTAAATAAATATTGTTTGTTTAGAACAAGGAAGAATGGATAAGCAATTAGCAATAGATGCCACCTTCATTTGTTCGTATTTCAAATGGGAACAGCAAGTCCTTCATGGCGTACGGGTACAAGACATGAGGAATACTCCCATTAGAATGTAAGCTCCGTGAGGGGAGGAATTCTTACCTGTTTTGTTACTGTTGCTTCACCAGCACCTAGAACAGTGTCCTCAGTAGCACTGAGTGAATGAAATAAATGATGGAGAGAATGAGAAGTGTTCGGTACCATGGCTGGCCCACAGAAGGAACACAGTGATCGTTGTTGCTGTTGTTACCAAGTCTGCCTGTGGTTTGTCCTGTGGCATCTTCAGGGGCTGGTGGGTAGTATAGTGCAGCTAGCTGTAGCAGAGGCTAGCACTCAAGAGAGGTATTTACTAAGGTGAAAGAAATGGAGGGTCGTGGATTAGTCGAAGAACAGAGTCATCGGTGTTATCCACCTTGAGGGGGGAAAAGTTAATGTATCTCTTCCTCACCCAGACAGTAGAAATGTTTTCACTTTCAAGTCTCAGAGAGCTAGTGTTTTCTTAATGTGCCACTTTTTATAAAAATGCCCACCTAAAGTATCCAGGAAGTCAAAAAGGTTAAGGAAGAGACCATGAGTTATCATCAAAATAAACAGCAATATTCTTGAATGTTAGCATTGGAGAAATACTTAAGAAGCATCCAACCACCTCACTGCAAGAGCCTGATTTGCCCCAAATGCCGTCACTAACTCTGGACACAGCCAGAAGGAGATCCTAATTCTTCCTTATGCAAGTCCTATTACGTATTATACACAGTCCATCTCCATGCCCACTAATGCTCCTGTTTGTCTTGCCCTGCATCTAGGAACTTCCAACTGCCAGGTATGTTGGGTGGATGCTGCCTCAGCTGTAGAATTGCTTCTCCTTTGATAGACCCCTTCACAATGATCACTGTCCTCCCAGCACTAGATGTGGCAATGGCCATGGAACAAGACCCCACAACCCCATTGTGGCTCCCCTCCTTTCTCTTTTTTCTCTTCACAGTTTAGCTAGCCTTACTGGTCCCACTTCCTCACCTCTCCATCCTGCCTCACATGATGCCTCTGAAATTGCTGTTACCATGTCACCAGAGAGCTCAGAATTGTCAAATCTAATTGCCAAATTCATTTTTCTGAACTTATCTTACTCCAGAGCTTCTGAAAATTTTTTACCAAAATATTCCTGATACCCGAAGAGAAATATGAGCACCAAGGAATGTCGAATTATTACCCAAAGCCACTGCCACAGACATGAAACAACTTTGAAGTTTCATTTTATCTTAAGAATTCATGAAAAAAAAAACAAAAAAAGAATTCACAAAAATTTTCCATTGCCTTCTTTTCTATGAAAATGATTTTTTCACAAATGTCTTCTTAAAATTGATACTCAAGGGATTTGATTGCTTTAATCCCATGGTTGCATGCACCACCTGGCACCTGTATTTGGTTTAAACTTCATAACCCTAACCAGGGTCACTAGGGTATGCTTAGTTGTCAGTTTATTTCCAGGCTAGGTAGGAACTAAGTGAGACTCAAGGCCAAAGGTGATGGTTTCTGTAAGCAGCATATACTCTTACAATCTCTTTCTTCTCATCTCCCCTCCTCACTTTACCCTCTTCTGGAGAACAGAAGGGGACTAGGAAGGAAAGGAAGGAAACATATACATGATCTGGCATTTTGGCTGGCTAATCTACTGCCTTGTTCAGTCCCAACAGCTGGGCTCTCCTCCAAGGAGGCTAAGCAGACTGGGGAGCTCTCATTGCATCTCCTGGGTAAAAGCTGCAAGCAAAGCTCTTTCATTTGGGGGTGGCAGGTTTACTTAGCTGTGTGTCCCTCAGGGGAGTGACAGCCAGAGGCTCATATTATCTCATCCAGTTCTTAGGCATTCTTTCTAGGGAGTAGGTCATATCTACCCTTTGTCCTCAAAGCCTTCTCACTCCCTTCTCTGTGTTGTGTATACTCTGCCTTGACAAACCAGTTTTACTTAGAACTGCAGAAATTTCTTTTGGGATATATCTTAGACCATAATTTATGCTTAAGATTTTAACTAAAATTCTCTTTTAACATCACTGTATGTAGTTGGGTTTTTAGAGTTGAACTTATTACATATTTTTTTCTTGCTAATAGGAGTAACTTTGTACTTTTAAAAAGTATATTTATTTATTTTTAGAAAGAGAGAGAGAGCGCATATGCAAGTGTGAGCAGGGGAGGAGCAAAGAGAGAGGAAGAGAGAATATACTGATAGTGGAGCCTGATGAATGAGTTCAAACTTACCAACCAAACTCACGAACCATAAGATCATGCCTTGAGCCAAGATCAAGAGTCCAACGCTCAACCAGCTGAGCCACCCCTGTACTTTTTTTTAAGGTTTTTCATTAATTAATTAATTAATTAATTATTTAGATAAAGGAGAGGTGTGGGCAGATGGAGAGAGCAGAGAGAGGGAGAGAGAATTCCAAGCAAGCTCCGCTCTGTCAGCACAGATCCCGACGCAGAACTAGACATGGGAGTAGACGTAGGGCTCGATCTCACAAACTGTGAGATCATGACCAAGCTGAAATCAAGAGTCAGATGCTCAACTAACTGAGCCACTCAGGCACCCCAGTAACTTTGTACTTTAATCTCTGTGTCTTGGTCATCTCAGGCCGCCATAACAAATAACCTTAGACTTGTTGGTTTAAAAATAGATATTTATTTCTCACTGTTCTGGAGGGTGAGAAGTCCAGGTCAAGGTGTCTGATTCCTGGTGAAAGCCCCCTTCCTACTCTGCAAACAGCTATCTCCTCACTATATCGTCACATGGTGGATAGAGAAAGCTCTGATGTCTCTTCCTCTTCTCACAAGGCACTAATCCCATCATGTGAGCTCCACACCCACTATCTAACCTTAACCCGGGTATCTCCCAAAAGTCCCACCTCCAAACCCATCACACTGAGGGTTAAAGCTTCAACATATGGATTTTAGGGGGAAATAAACATCCAGTCCATTAAACTCTTCATAAGTAACAATTTAAGTAATATCTTCATAGAATTTTTGAGTTATATTTTATGGGCAGTAAAGAGGGTCCCTTCAACTGTCATGATTCCTCCCAAAATATTTTCTTATGGAAGAAGAAACAGTGTGTTGATTAGAATTAAGGTCAGCTGGTAGAAACAGCAAACAAAACAAAACATTACCAGCTTAATTAAGAGATGTCCATTTCTCTTTGGTGTAATAGTCTCAAGGCACATATTTTATATCTATACAGCATCTCTGCTCTGCAAAGTCCTCTGGGATACAAGCTTCTTCCTTACCCATATCTTCATGTAGAAGGTAATGTTCAAGTTCCAGGTAGCAGAACAAAGGAAAATATGGTGAAGAAGGGGTTAATAATGAGCCATCTGCCTCTTGAAGTTCCTGGATATTGTCACAGGACAACTTTTTGCAGATTTCGTTATATGGCCACCCCTATTGCAAGGGAGGCTAGGAAATGTAGTTTTTATTCTGCTGTAGCCAAAAATGTTATTGCTTCACAGGGAGTACTCATACTGGGGGACAATGGCAGCTCTGTCATCCACAAACTTATGCAATCTCTCTGCCGTATTTCTATTTTATCCTTGGCCTGGCTGACACCAATCAGAATTTTCCTTTCTTCTCCAGACTTCTCAAGCTCTTCTGCAGACTCTTTTGCCTCTGGGCTCCCTCAATGTTAGTGTGCCCTAGCATTTGGTCCTGAAGCCCTCCTCTCACTCTGTAGACTTTCTTGCATGGTCATAGCAAAGTTATGGCTTCTGTTTCCCGAGCTTTACATTCTTACACCTCTTTTTCAGAACACTTTTTTTTTTTTTACCTTTTTTTTAATTTTTTTTTTTTTAATTTACATCCAAGTTAGCATATAGTGCAACAATGATTTCAGGAGTAGATTCCTTAATGCCCCTTACCCATTTAGCCCATCCCCCCTCCCACAACCCCTCCAGTAACCCTGTTTGTTCTCCACATTTAAGAGTCTCTTATGTTTTGTCCCCCTCCCTGTTTTTATATTATTTTTGTTTCCCTTCCCTTATTTTCATCTGTTTTGTATCTTAAAGTACTCATATGAGTGAAGTCATCGATATTTGTCTTTCTCTGACTAGTTTCGCTTAGCATAATACCATCTAGTTCCAACCACATAGTAGCAAGTGGCAAGATTTCATTCTTTTTGATTGCCGAGTAATGCTCCATTGTGTGTGTGTGTGTGTGTGTGTGTGTGTGTGTGTGTGTGTGTGTATATATATATATATATACTCCACATCTTCTTTATCCATTCATCCATCGATGGACATTTGGGCTCCTTCCATACTTTGGCTATGGTTAATAGTGCTGCTATAAACATTGGGGTGCATGTGCCCCTTCGAAACAGCATACCTGTATCCCTTGGATAAATACCTAGTAGTGAAATTGCTGGGTCATAGGCAGAACTTTTTTTCTTCAATCTCAGATTCATATATCAAATTCCATAAGGGACTTCTCTACTTAAATATATTTTGGATGACTCAAATTCAGTATATCTAAAATTAAACTCAACATCTTTCCATCTTTCCACATAAACTCCATATCTTATTATCATTGTCCATCCACATGCTTACTGAAACTAGAATCCTGAGATATGCTTGGAATTAACCTCTTCATCTCTCACATACGTCAATGTCTCTTGCCCTCTTCTCCATCCTCCCTGTTTTGCTTTAGTGGTTATAGCTAACATCTATTGGACATTTGCACACCCCAACTACTGATATATTACATGTTTTCAATTCATTTAATCTTCAAACAACCCTACTATTACTATTATTTGTCCATATTATAGATCAGGAAATTAAAGAACAGAGAAGTCAAGTAATTCTCCCAAATGTCACAGGGGTAAATGGTAAAACCAGGATTTGAAAACACACAGTTGATTTTAGAGCACTCTTTCTTAGGGCTCTAACTTCCTGTGTTAGCCCTCATTATTTATTTGTTGTATTTCTATGGAAGCCTTTTAATTGGATTCTCTTTTCCAGTCTCACTAACTCCTCCCTCAAATTCCATCTTTCATGTGACTAATTACCAGAGTAATCTTTCTAGAATATAATCTAATGATGTTAGTCTGCCACTTAATACCAATCGTCTGTGCTTCTCCATCACCTGCAGACTAAAGTTCCAGCTGCTTCATGACACACACAGTCTTTCATGATTTAGCCCCTGCCTAAAAATACAGCCTCTTCTGGAACTTTGCCTAAGTTCTATGGCCCTGTCCAGCCATGTGAGAACCACTTGCAGCTTGTGAACAGACCTTACTCCCTCAGCGTGTCTCTATGCTTTGTACTCATTCAGAGCTCCTATTTCAGGGGTAGGCTGTTATGGAAATTGCTCAAGAGC